ACAGTTAAACGCTACTATGATTCACCTGATTCCGAAAAACCCCAACCCTAGAGATGCAACCGAGTTCCATCCTATATCGTGTTGCAACACTACTTATAATGTTATATCCAAACTTTTAAGTAAAAGACTAAGCCAAATTTTGCCTGAACTTATTGATTTAAACCAGGGTGCCTTTGTTTAGGGTAGGTCCATACTGCATAATGTCCTTTTAACCCAGGAATTGGTTAGACTCTATAAAAGGAAAAATATAAAAGCTAGCTGTCTTATGAAGGTAGACCTTAAAAAAGCTTTTGATTCTATCCACTGGGATTTCGTTGAGCAAATGTTTGTATATTATGGCTTTCCTCCGAAATTTACTGCTCTAGTTATGGAGTGTGTAAGATCCCCAAGTTACTCTATAAGTTTAAATGACACAAGTACGGGTTATTTCTATGGTCAGCGAGGTCTTCGCCAAGGAAATCCCCTCTCTCGTTTGAGCTTCGTGATGGCGATGGAATATTTAAATAGACTATTCAAGCAGGAAGCAGACAAGGGGATTTCAAATATCACATGTACTATGATAAGCTCAAAATTATTAGTTTAAGCTTCGCAGATGACCTAATTATTCTCAGCCAGGCAGATCTTCCCACCATCTGGAGAATTAAGGCAGTTTTGCAACAGTTTGAAGCTACCACTGGGCTTATAGTTAGCATCCTGAAATCCAATTTGTACTTTGGAGGTGTGAATGAAGCCTTGCAGTTCAGTATACAACAAATTATGGGTTTTCCATTTGGTAATTTTCCGATAAGTTACCTTGGAGTCCCTATTTCCCACACTTCATGGACCCAATTAGACTGTCAAAAGCTAGTTGAAAAAATTGTGGCAAGGCTTAACTGCTGGTCTCCTAGGAACCTGTCATATTCTTGTAGATTAGTCTTGATAAATTCAGTTCTTATGAATCTCCATTCTTATTGGTCTTGTATTTTTTTTGATCCCTAAATCTGTGATAAGTCAAATTGAAAGGTGTTGTAGAGAGTTTCTTTGGGGAAAGAATAGCTCTGGAAGATTCCATTCATTAGTTGCTTGGGAAGAGGTTTGTAAAAACCATAGGGAAGGAGGGCTGCACATTAAAAATCCTGCTGTTCGCAATCAAGTTTTAATTGGGAAGCAACTATGGGATATTGAAAAACAAAAAGAGAGTCTGTGGATTAAGTGGGTTCATGTTTATTATCTAAAAGGTGCATCTATCTGGGACTATGGACCACCTATGGATAGTGGTTGGCATTGGAAGAAGCTTTTGGCTGTTAAAAACAGGCTGAAAGAAGGTTTGTTACAGGGCTGTTGGAATGAAAATATTGGAAAACTCTACTCTGCCAAGTCTGGTTACAGGTGACATATGGGAGAAAATGCAAGATGTAGTTATGCCAAGATTGTATGGGGTCCTTATAATATGCAGAAATATTGTTTTATAAGCTGGTTGGTAGTCAAGGATCGACTACTTACACAAGAGAGACTCTCTAAAATGCAGCTGCTGAAAGAAATCATAAGATGTGAGCTGTGTTCAGGTACAATTGAAGACACTGATCATCTTTTTTTCTTGTGCCCTTACTTTAATATGCTTCTGCAACTTGTGCTAAATTGGCTGAAAAATAGACCTGAATATTAAAAATTTAAAAACTGGCATTGGATGTTTGTTGAGAACTTGGAGGTTTCAGAAAGTGAAACAGAAAATCCTTTTTGCTACAATCTGTGCTGTAGTATACCATGTGTGGACTGAAAGAAATGCAAGGAAATTTGTGGGCCAAAGTTTGGATGCAAGGGTAAGAGCAAATTTGATCAAACATGAACTAGTTTGGAGAATTAAGTTTTATTGTAAGTCTAAGAAAAGACAGGTTCTAGATTATTTACAAAGTCTGGGTATTATCATCGAGTGAATTCTTGTAATAGCAGAAAGTAGGCTTGTACATAAGCTCAGTTTTGATAGCAATACAAAATTTACCAATTTACCAAAAAAAAAAAACAAAAACAAAACTCAATCACAACACACATCATTTAAGTAATATACGAACATCCTCATCCATCAGAACCATTTCTATACTCCCATGCTCAAATGGGTTTGAATATAGTGGCTGCTTCCAAACACGAATTAGCTTAACCCTGAATCTCCAATCATCTTGGAGAGGAGTAAGTGAACCAATATTATTGTACCCAGCTTCCATAAATAGATGACAAAACAAATGGCAAGATGAATACGGAAATTCGATTGATGGTTTTCTTGCACGAAGGATCACCTATTTATACACGGATGGTGAACCTAATGGAATTCGGTTAAATGATGAGCATGTAGCATGGGCGGGAGATTCTTATAGCCTTGCATGCGCATGCAAAAGTTCACACCGGACGAAACCATTTTAAATGGGCGGTGATGCGATTTTTCATGAGCACGCTACCACAATATTTTGCACAAAATAATGACACGTGGACATTAGAAAGATATAGCCAGGTTCTCAATTTACTTCGATTGTATTTTGGAGGGAATTTGGAGGGAAATGAATCCATGAGAATAAGCATGGAAAATGAATATTTAACAGGATGACGTTTTTAACAGGATGCAGTTTGGCATGGAAAATGAATTTAGACAATTTATTTAGTTTAATAAATAAAGGAATGCATATAAAATTGTAATTATGGAAATAAATAAATGGGTGTGAATTTACACACCTTGATGGAGATGAATTTTATATATGGAATTATTTATCGAATTAACGAAATTCTTGTCCTAAATATTTGACCAATGAATACAGCACACGTGTAATTACGGGAAAATGAAATGGACGAACAACTGAAATGTAGACATAATAAGGAGTGACCCAGGTTATCAATTTACGTTGAGCGCATTTTGGAGGGAAACAAATGCACGAAGATGACACGTGTACAAAGATGACACATGTACACGAGGAGGGCGTTTATCAGGAAAAACCTTGGGCGTTTTAGTTGGAGGGAGTTTTGGAGGGAAGGGAATGCACGAGAAGACAACACGTGGACAGGAGCGGAAGGAAGGAGTTTTGGAGGAAAAGAAAATGCATGAGAAGATGACACGTGGACAGGAGGGAGTTTTGGAGGGAAAATATTGAAGGAGAAGACGACACGTGGACAGGAAGGGAAGGAGGGAGCTTTGGAGGGAAATGAAATGCAAGAGAAGACGACACGTGGACAGGATGGAGGAGGGGGGAGGGAAATGGGCCGGAATACCTGCTCAAGGGGCTGCTGAAATAGTAGTATGAATGATGTTAGCTTTTGTTATTGTAGTGGGTTTTCCCATAATAGGATATATAAACATAAATGATTCAAGACATGAAAACTGTTTTTGCTTTAATTAAAACTAGATGCTTGGCCCGGACAGATGCCCGGGCGCCCCCTCTAAATTACTATTTTATTAAAATTTAATTGAATTACTATTTTTTGAGGAATTAATTTGGCGTATATATCATTTATGCTATCGTTTGGGGCTTAAAAAAATATACCTATAAATATGAGGTTATAAGGGAATAATAAATAATTAGTTTATAAGGCATTATTCTTAATTACTGGATTTAGGTATTTTTATTTTTTGTATATATTAAGCCTGCAAAACTATACGATTGGACATTTGAATTTGAATTAATATATCCATTCATTTGAAATGTAACTGACCCTTATTTGTAGTAAAACATGTGTTTTTTTTTTAAAAAAAAATTATATAGTTTCTAATTAAAAGAGAGTTACACGTGGCAAAAAGACTTCTGAAATCTGAAATATGGTGCATTGGAGCCAAAACAGATGCATATGTAGTTGCTACATAAGCTTCTATGTCTTCTGCTTTAATAGAGTAAAAAATGGATAAGTCTAAAAATTCAAGGCCATTGAATCGGAATAAAACAGATATATATAATATTTCATTTCACTTAACTTTTACATATTTCTTCCACACGTACGGGTTGATTAGAAGAACTAAGATTGGTGACATAACACGAGTTGATCAACTCTCTAAATTTTGGTTCAGTTTTGTGTGTGTAAGTCGCGCCTACACACAGTCACAGTAATCGATAATCATTTTCATTCTAACGAGAAAAGAATTTCTCATTCCAATCTTTAGCTTACTTCTAGCATTTATTTTATAGGAACCATTACATAATTATTTGAAATAACCAAAAATTTAAATAAAAAGAGAGAAAGAGAAAAAGAAAAATCAGATCATCAAATCGGTGAATATCACCCCATCAGCCTCATAGCCAAAGGTGGACAAAGGACTCGGTGCATATCACCCCATCAGCTTCATAGCCCAGAGGTGGACAAAGGAGGTTGCTTTTAGTTCCTTTGCTGAGCCTGGGAGATGAACAGTACACTCTTTCCTTCAACATTTAGAGTACTCCCTCTGTCCCAAAATTATTGTCCAGTTTGAGATTTCACTTTTAGTACAATTTGAACTAAAAATGAAAACTCAAACTGGACAATAATTTTGGGACGGAGGGAGTACTATAAGAGTAAAGTGTAATTAAGCATTTCTTTTCTAGGATGTTCTCCAAATGATTCGTGGCATTTCTCCAGCAATTATTCTTTTTAATTACTGACGAAAACTAGGATGAATCGTTCCTTATTCTTTTATTCCTTAGGATTTGCGATATGTCTTCTACAGATAATTAATAAAGACATATTTTCAGTCCTTTTCTCCATTCGTCAATGATATCAATTTACTGTGAATTGAACACTTCTTTCTGAATCAGGGAATATCGATCATTTATAAACCATCAGAGTAAAAGCGCAAACTCCACCCGGGTGGAAGTACTTTCACCCAAAATACAGCAGAATTTTGCTGATTCCATTAATGGTTCAACCCTGTATAATGTGTTTCAGGGAAAGCACAAATTCCAGAATTATGCTGATTCCATTAATGGGTCCGCCCTGCATAATGTGTTTCAGGGAAAGCACAAATTCCAGATAAGATAACCAAATTATTCAAGAAAAAGAAGTAAATTGTTCAATGATCACACCAGCACTAAAGTTATGAAAGCACAAATTCCAGTGAAGATAACCAAATTATTCAAGAAAAAGAAGTAAATTGTTCAATGATCACACCAGCACTAAAGTTACTCCAAGAATGTCTGAAGTCTGTACTTGGATAACATTTAGATAACATGATTTCAGTCTATAAAAGGAAGAAAATTTCTGAAACATAGAAAACATGCTGAAGCACACTCTCATTCACTTGTAGATCTCGGTGACGCCCAAACTGCCAACACGGGTGACCAACTTCGAGTCTCTGAATCCAGCGCTAACGGCCAATGCCCGAACTTCATTCTCTGATCGTTCTCTTCCTCCAGGATTGACAGTCATCATCAGCACGTCAGAGCTGAGAATACCCTTTGAAGAAGTGCTGGTATCAGGTTTCTCAGGTAGAATCAGATCGACAACGATTACTTTCCCACCGTCTGGAAGAGCATTGAAGCAGTTCTTCAGAAGTTTCAGGCAATGATCATCACTCCAGTCATGAAGTATCATCTGTCACAAATTCCCAATCAGGTTTTAGTATGGTGCATTGAGATATAAGAACAATTAAACTGGGAGACACACTGGAAGAAAGCACCAAACTTCAGGTCTTTTTACTCTGTGTAGGTTCATCACTTATATCACATTTCATCTCTAAGGTGTGTTGTTAAACTTCAATAAGATATGCTATTACAAAATTTGGTAAAAACGATATTATGATTGTTCAAAAGAAACACCCACGACGAAATTGTGATTATAGTCATCATATAATTGCAGAAAATATAGACTACAAAAGCAAACTGTCTTATCTGTGTAGTGAATCCTATTGTGATACTTATAAATGGCCTTTTTAGCTAATGGGAATTGCTGTGAGAAATCAGAAAGGTAAACAAATTTAGTTCTTTCCACTACAAAGTAGTTCAACTTCGCTTTATAAATCCATCACACAAAGGGTCTTTGGTATGTAATCCAAAAGGCTCTTTGGTCAACAGTGTGTGTCTGTACATATCTATATATGAGAAGAAGTACATGTTTCAAAATCAAACCATATATATTCAGAAATATGGAAGCTATACCTTCATAAAAATGGCGTCTCCTCCTGGAACACATTCAAACATATCTCCACCGACATGGTCCACTCCTGCGTTGAAGAATATAATGTGATGTTAAATGTAGTTGGCATGAGTGTTACCATGTGACTTCCTACACTTTCTTTAATTAGTTTAGCTCGACATGGTCATTAGGAAATACACATATCGACTTTAATGGTACTAAGCGCTATTCAAACAGGTTGGAGAAAATGGCAAAGTGCGTCTTTTTCTTTTTTTTTTTTTTTTTGAAATGGGTGGCAAACTGCGTCAGTTTAAAGAAATAATCTTTCTATAGACTGCCATTCAGCCATTGCTTTCTGTGGATTAGGCTACTAGATATGAAAATGAATAAAACCAAAAAAAAAAAAATGCACGTAGGTAAAACGAGGTTGACATATGAGTACACTAAATTACATCAAAGTGGTGCATTAGACAGTATTATTTAGTAACACTTATATATGCAAAAAAAAAAAAAAAAAAAATTCATGTTCGAGGTAGTTTGAGCATGTGAAGTACGGATCTATATATAGATGCCTCAATTAATAGTATAAAAAATTAGAATCACTAACTCAAATATTTTATTGAAATTATGTATGGCTACAGAACACAATCACAACATATACATGATCTATATAACTGACTCCCCAAACAGTGACATAAATATGTTCTAAGAGCATACTATGGAAAAATAACAAAATTTGTTATTTGTGGTACAAATGCGACTTTTACCAGGATAAGATGGTGCAGCATGGACAACATGAGGTAGATCAAAATTGATGCCCTTAATTAAGGGGTATTTTGATATGATCTTGTGAAGCGTTATTCCAAGACCACCACCAACATCAACCAATGTGCAAAGCTGTTCAAAACCTTTGTATTCACTCAAAATCTTTTCTAGGATGATGCCTGTTGGACCAACCATTCCCTTGTTGAACAGCTCATTAAACCTAGGATCTCGGCTAGGGTAATCAAATGCATGAGTCCCATGGACTCTGTTGAACGGAATCCCCCCTTCAATAACCGCATTCCTGAGCTCATACCTAAAATAATCAAAGATACAAAACGCAAATCAAAGCATACATATTCATAAATTTTAATTGAATTAACAAATTCACCAAAATGAATTAAAGTATGAAAAGTCCAACAAACCCTTACCAACTGTCTATGAATACTTTGTCATTGTGCAATTCAACCAAAGGAGAAACGGAGAAGCCCTCCTCATTCTCAATGAAATACTTGCCAACCGGAGTCAACCCGTAAACCCTTTTATGCACAGAACCATCCTCCCCTGAATCGTTAACCTCGTCGCAAGTGAGCACGGAATAGGCACTCAGTAAACGAAGCATCCGGTCCACCATTGAAGCCGCATTTGAGTTTTTTGTAGCTAGCTGAGCCGTGATCTGGGACGCCGAAAGCTTCGATCCAGGACCAGATTTTGAGATGATTTCAAGCAAATTCAGTTTGATGGCGGTGTACAGAACCATAGGAAATGAAGCCGAGGTGGCGAGCTGCATCGCGTAAGAGAAATCCCGGCCTTTTTCTCCTCCTTCAACATTTGGTACTTTTGAACTCTCCATTGAATTTTGCTCTCTAATTGAATCTTGAAATCTTAGGATATATCGACAATGTTAATCTCACTGTTTCGCCGATGTTATATATAACGCAATAAATTCGATTACAGTAATCTCGTCTGCCATGCACCACGCGTCACTAAAATGGGTGGAAGGGAGTTCTAATTTACGAGAGTAACGTAAACTTTATTTGTCGCATTACATATTAGTGGTCAACGATATTATTTCTTGTGCTACTTCTTATTTATTGCATGAAATACATTAAACAATACAATTGATTTTGAACCGAGGAGTTGTAGTTTGTAAATTGATTAGTAATACAATTGCGGTACATTGCAGTACATTGATAAATAAATTAGTAATAACGATTGAGGTATATTGCAGTACAAATGAAAATTATATAGCCTTCTGTTTCGGTCTCAGTTTCAAGGAAAAATGATGAAAACCATACAGAAACTAGGGAAGGAAAAAAAAAAAGGTGGTTGGTTATTTTCTGAGTGTTGAAGCCTTGAACGCATTCAATTGTCTCAAATGCTTTCTGTCGATTTAATATGATATAAGGCAGGAAAATAGTTTTGCTTTAATTGAAACTAGTGGGTGGCCCGCACGCTGTGCAGGTTTTAAGATTTTCTGAGCATAATTAATGTGAAACAAAGATTGTTGAAAATACCAGGATGAAAACAAACATAAACCGTCTCATCATGTTTGATTTACTTGGCTTTTGAAAGAAATACAATCAGAAGTCTTACCTATACGAGGGAATTCTATTAATCGGCAGAAGTCTATTTATTTTTTTTATTCAGGGTTCCACTTATTGATTAGCTTTTTTTTTTTTTAAACGGGGTTATTGGTTTGAGATATTTGAAAGAATAATTTCATCATTTGTGCTTTGGTTTACTTTTGGAAAAAAACTATCGCAATTATAAACAATCCAAGGGATATTTGTTGGTGGTTTTTTTTTCCAAAATCAATTGTGTCTTTTTTAATGGTATTTTTGGGACAAATGTCATGAATCCATAAACAAATTAAAAAAAAATTAGAAAAATTGAGCTCAAAGGGGTGTAGTAAATTTTATTGAGTAATTTATTTGTTTTGCTTATTTACATCTACATATATAGAGAAGGGAATCCCCTTTTTGTTGCATGGTTAAAGGGGAGTTCCAGTCAAAATCGCTGATGTGGCAACTTTCTGTTCGACCTTTTCTCTTTTGTCCTTCTAGGCGGCCTTTGAATGAGTGACTTCTCCTCTCCGTTGCCCGGCTCTGTTTTTCTATTTCTTTTTCGCAACAGAGTTTGCACTTTGCAGGCATAATAATTTCACTCCAGCGATACCAAAATCTCGCTTCTTTCTTCCTTCGATTATCGGCTTTTTCTGGGATTAATCAGCATCTGTCTGGATCCAAAGGTTAGTGAGTTTTTGGTTTCTGAAATCATCGGATCTACTCTGTTTTGTATGTGTGTTTGTGAGTTTGTGAGTTTGTTTGGTTTCCATTCCGTCGACTTATACAACATTATTACAAAATTAGAGGCTGTGTTTATAGGGTCGAGACACTCGGTTCTGCAACCTCTCGCTGGGATTCTCTTCCATTCTAAAGCTATTGAATGTCAACAACTTGATGGACCAATTTAAGTGGATAAAAATTCATGATAGTTTCAAGTGGCAAATTATTGTCCTTTTGATTATGTGTGTGAATATCATTTGTGCTTTTGTCAATTTAATAATGAGCACCTCAGATTTTTTTTTCAAAAACACTCTCATTCATTTGTTTCTCAAAGAATATGTAATGCTTTTATTTGTTTAATTATTTATTTTGGGGATGCTGGTGAAATATTGATTAATTTTTAGAGTGAACTCAGAGATTGAAATACATAGTTACATTCAGGGAAGAAAAAAAAAGTAAAAGAAAAATCATGATCATAGGATAATCTTTGCCGTGGCCATGCCGTTTGAATTTATTGTGCATCTGTTATTGATACCGGGTTTAAAGTTAGTTGATGTGATTGTTGAATGAATTTATTGTGCATCTGTTATTGATATCAGACTTTTGGAAAAATTGAATTGAAGGTTTAAAGCTAGTTGATGTGATTGTTGAATGAATTTATTGTGCATTTGTTATTGATATCGGGTTTGATTTCGGTTTCGGGGCACAACAAATGAGGGGGCAGCCTCACTTTTTGTATGGATTGATTTCTATATTTGAATTGCATGCTTAATTTCGTTTCTCCTTTGTTGGTAGATGCAAATGAATAAAGAGAACCGCTAACTTTTGGATCCTATTGACAGCTGGTGGTTGGTTCTTTGGGTCTTGATAGGTATTTCACTTTGGGACAAATTTCAATTAATTTGAACTCCTCTTTCGGAATGTAAAGCATTGAGTTGATTTTCTTCTGCTGTGCAAAATTTTTCTTTGTTTCTTGTACATTTGTACTTTTAATGTTGCCTCCAAAGACAAGACCATGTTGCTGAATTTGATTTTGACGAGTTAATTATAAAGTTTTGTACTAACTCTTGAGCAATATGCACATGTTTCTGGTGATGAAAAGAAATAAAGTTTCACCTACCAAAAACTATATTACGAGTTAATTGTAAACTTTTGCACTAACTCTTGAGCAATATGCATAGCCTAATTGATTGTTCAGCTATGTACCGAGCTTCCTAATGATTAACTAGAGTAGGATTAATCGTATAAGTAAGTCAGGGCTAGCTTTTCCTAAAACTTAATTTCAGATCTCGTGTATATATGTAGTCATAGTACCATGAAATAAAACATCACGAAAGATACAAATTCAGGAGCTTTCACCTTAAAGCCATATTTTCATAATACTCGGTGTTCCGTCCTTGATTGACTCGGGCTTCCACGGTTGAATAGTTCGCTTCTCAAGTTCTCTTTTACTTTTGTTTGGTTCCACTACTGTCCAAATACTATCTTCGGTGAATCCTTAGTTAAGTTGGTATTTGAAGGTTTGGAGTTTAGAACATTAGTGACAACTCAAGGAAAGTAGAGAAGGTTAGATGATGATGCGATGGTTCACTTAAGGATAAAATGAAGGGAAAAATGAATTTATGTCTAATGCTGGACTTGAGTTAGAACAATTTAAAAGAAACGCAATATAGGGTGGTGACAAATACAAAAGAAGCTGGACTAGCTTTTGTCTTAAGCTTTAGATGATATCATAGATTTAGAGGCAGTGGGAGCAATGAATATAAAATTAGTTGCTGAAGTTTCCAGCACAAGATTTTGATATTGATAGAAGTTCCAAATGGCTAAACCTGACTAGAATAATTAATGACTTTTTAAAGTAGTACAGTAGTACGCAATTTGTTTCTTCATGGCATAAAGGACAGTGACTCAATTTTAATTATTTGGACCATGAAATTGTTTAGTCAGTTTCGTCCTCTATTTGTTTAGTTTTTTAGATGGTTTTTTCAGATTATTTTAATAATAATTATCCCACCACATAATACTTTTTTACATTTCTATTATATCATACTTTATATACTCGCACAGATTTATGGTGTTTCAACAATTGCATGTATGTTTTTATAAGGCAGTAATTAGAGGTTTCAGTTAAATTCATTTTGTGTGTTCAAAGCTCAAATCCCTACTGTTATTTCTGCTTTCTTACATTTTGTGAGTCTATTTGCTTGCAGCTATGGGTCTGATCTTTACGCTGCTCTTAATTGGGTTATTTGTTGTAATTAGGTTCGTTTTGTGGGACGATTTAGCTTTCTGAAAAATTGGAGTTTCGTTAATTTTATGATTAGTGAAGATAGGTTCCATACTAGGGTTGAATTTGTACCTGAATTTTTGCATAATCTAGAACCCAAAGAAGAGTATCAGCCTTTAATTTTGAAGTATGATTTGATAGTTTTGTTCCATGAATGAAAATGTTTGTATTTTCTGCTTCTAATTCTTTTCTAAGATATTGTTATGTATATCCCGTGCATTGTTTTTACCTTCAATTTTTTTCTGTAAGATGGTAACATGGCATGATCCTCTAAATAAAATTCAGTTTGAACGTCTAATTTGCAGCAAGCTTTTGCAAAATATTTTGCTGCAAGTTGAAACCTGGGAACACGTAAGTTAGAAAAACTATGTAATTTTAATAGCAATGTTGCATTTTCAGAGATTGTCCAACTCATGTTTCATTTGAAGCATATTAGTGTTTGTGACCAGTACCTGATAGTTTTCAAAGTTTTTAAACTAAATGTATATCCACCTTCTAGGCCACACTTTATATCATGGACCCTTTGAGTTGTTTAAAAAACTATCTGCAAACTTATTAATAAATTTGACATTTTCTTCTTCTCTTTACGTCCAATTTATGAAACTTTTTCGTCAATGGAGTCAAATTTTGGCCTAGGGGTTAGTCTCACCTTGTACGTGCCTGATTTATTATACCTAGGCTGCTATTTGAAATACTATATTTCGTTATGTTGATCATGTTAATCTACCTTAAATAGGCTACAGCTGGTTTTTGTGCAAATTATTGCTTTTTGGTTTGAAGTTAGTTTGGAGGAAATGGAAGAAAGCACTGTCCATATATTATTTCATAGGTCAGAGTAAAAGTTATTGAATGTTTTCTGTATTGAAGGCATTATTTTATGTCTGGTTTCATAAACATCAATGATATTTTGCAACAAGTGCACCCATTCAGTGTACCAGGGATTTTATGTCTGGCCTCTTGGGTGACACAGTGGAAAATTAATGAGGAACCTGATTGGCATTGATTTAAATAGAAGTGAAAACTATAAGGTTAAGATTAGCATGGAATTCTTTTTGTGAAGACATCACTATAATCGTAGTAATACTTTAATATATAAAGTGCCAGTTGTGTGCAGTCAAAATAATAGGAATATGAAAAGAATGCCTAATTGCATGCTCTCAGTTAGGGGCACCATTTTATTGTGCACTTTCTGTTTCCTGCATTCTTTGAATTACGTTACCACATCTTATTTAATAATATAAATTTGTTTTATACCTGTTTCAACAGTTTGGAAAGTGCATTGAAGTTTGCAAAGTGCGTTGATGACCGAAAGAG